AACCCCCAGCCTCAGGAATCCTGCCCAAAAGGAGCAACTTGATACCTCTGAGCCCTCCAGGTGGCCCTAACTACTGGAATCCACCCCTATCCCTGGCCTTTGTTCCCACCTAGACTGTGAGTTCCCAAGAGACTCCATGTGCAGCTGCGCAGGCTGTGTACTGCAAAACCGTAGGTTGCCGTTCATATCACAATCAGGCAATACCGTGGCCTGGGGCCCAGTCTGAGCTGCCTGGGTTGCCCACCTCTTTACCACCCTTACCATGGTGGGTGGTCTCTTGATCTCCAAGTTTGTTGACTGAGTGACTGAATGAACCTACCATCAGCTGACAGCCCTGGGGACCTTATTACACCCTGGCCTGGGTGCAGCCCATCTGATTAATTCACCCAACTCTAATCTGTCTCTGTTCTCAGTCTAGTCCCATACTCCCCTGGGGAAAAGTCTTCCTTATGTTCCTCTCCATTCCCCCTGCAGCAGCCAAGCCTATGATGCCGCCAGCCCTGGCTGCTATATTTTAGGGAGAAACAGCATGAGGGAGTGAGAGGGACACATCATCCTCACGTGGGGAGCCTGCCCCTTTTTCTGTGGCCCGGTGGCCAGCAGTGCATTTCCTGCCCCATGCAGCAGGCCCATGGTCTCGGGTTCTATCATTTGTGGCAGAAACCCAGAATGCCTTTCACCACATCCTCCCACAAGCCCCCTTCTGCTTCAGCAGGTGTTCAGAGAGGTTTTCATGAGCCCAGCTGGGTTCCCCCAACCCCTCGGTGGGCTCAGAACCTTCTGCTCTGGGGGCTTCAAACTCCCCTCATCCGTCGTGGCCTTTCGGCTTGGCTTCTGAGGGAGGGGGCCTTAAAGTCTGTCAGGCCTGGAGCTGAGGAGACTGAGCAGGAGATAGTCACAAGTAACTCAGACTGAAACTCAGCCTTCATGAGCATGTGGAACAATCAGAATGTTCACGCACTTCAAAGTCTGGAAAACTGAATGCTAAGCCAAATCATAAGCCGTGATCCAGCAATTCCACTGCCGGGCAATTGCCCAATAGAGAGAAGTGCACTGGTCCACCAAAAGAAAGTACTATTCATAATAGACCAAGGAAATTGCCTACATGCCATCAAAAGCACTATTCACACAATGGAAAACGCTAGCAACAAAAATGAGCATTATTGCTTAGGCAAGACCATGGATAAAATTCACAGACTGTATGTTGACGGAGAGAAGCTTAACATAATAGTGTACCTACTGTATGCCTCATTTATAAATTCAAGAAAAGGCAAAACTAATCCATGGAGATGGCAGCTGGAGCAGTGGTTTGGCTCTTAGCAGGGGATGTGCTTGGCAGGAAGCATGCAGCCTAGAGGGGCTCACGCACGGCATCCACTCCAGATCTGGATGCCACTTACATGGGTGGCTCACATTGTAAACATTCACTGAGCTACATGCTGATGACATGTGCATTTTTCTGTGTGGCATGTCAATAAAATTTCACCAAAACAAAGAAGATACAACAAACATCAACCTTTAATTCAAATTCTTGCAGCCAAAAACTTCCTAACAACCTACCTTACCACCAGCCTACCCCACCCCTGTGTGAAAGCTTTCTGGCTCCCCAACTGTGGGTGCCTGGGTGACAGGCACTGCCCACCTCCTGCATCATATTTCTCATCACACCCAGATACAGCCACCGACATTGTTTCAGTTCCTTGGCCTTGCTCAGGCCAGCTTCTAGACTCTAACCAAGCTGTTCTCAGGATTTCCCCCTCCCATGACTCCTCACACTAATTCCTACTCATTCCCCAAGTCCCAGTGTCAATGCACATCCTCTACTTGAAGGACACACCTGCCTCTATGTCCTCAAAGTGCTCTGAATGTCTCTGCCAGAGCAGTCATGACTCCTCTTGTCATTGCCTGACTTTGTTTCCCTTATGAGGGCAAGGACTGTGTCTCTTTCACACATATCCCTCATATTTTGCCTGGCACTGAGTAGATGCTCTATAAGTATTTACTGAATTTGAGTGAATGAGTGAATGAATGGATGAATTGCACCTGCCCTCACCACTTAAATCTCATGGTCACAAGCCTCTTCACGGTACAGATGAGGAAACCCAGTTCAGCAAAGGATCCAAGCCTGCTTGGCTGGTGGGGTCCTGGCCCAAGTCCCAGAGCCATGAAGCTACCTCAGGAGCTGTCACCAAACACTGCTGCTGCTCTACTTGGCTTGGGAGATTTGGAGCTTCACGCAGCCAGGGACCCTGAGCGCCTCCCCTGGCTCTGTCCCAAAGCCTGTCTGGACCCTGGGCTCATGGCTCAGGTGTGCTGGGGATGAAGGAAACCACTGACCACTAACCAAAAGCAAAGCAGCAGTGGTAGTGGGGCGGCAGGGCACCAGCTTGGGGCAGGACCTGAGTATGGCTGGGTCATAGAGCAGACACAGAAAAAGCTCTGTGACCATCATGAACTAAACAGGAAAGGAAGAGGAAGGGTTGCTCTAGCTTAAAAGAGACTAAAGAGACAAAGTAACAATACATGACACATTCTCCTTGACTGGATCCTGGCTTCAAAACAAAGCAGCTCTAAAAGTCATTTTGGCGACAACAGGGGAAAAAACTAAAGACGGGCTTCTGCATCAGCACACCGCCACTGTCACCATCCGATACAATACGTTTTACTCGCTTGCTTATTGCCTGTCTCCCCCGAGCACGGGGATTTTTGTCTGCTTTGCTCACTTCTGTATCCTCAGGGCCTGGTACAGAATAGATATTCCGTATAAATATTTGTTGAGTGAATGACCATAGTGTACATAATTCTTCAAACTGCCTTTTTCCCTTACAATATATCTCAAGATTGATCTAGGTTAATAACCACTGCACTCGTTTCATTTATTCCACCTGCTTTTAGTGTTGCCGTCGTTGGTGCATTTTCAGAATGATGAGCATTTCCAGTCTTTCTCTGTTCCAAGCAGTGATACCATAAATACCTTGACCTGAGATTTTCTCTAGGGTTAGTATCTGGGAGTGGAATTACTGAGTCCAAGGCCACGTGCATCTTCAACTTTACCAGATATGGCAAAAGTGTTCTCCAAGGTGGCTACACTAATTTACGTTCCCCCAAGTTCCTGTTTGACCACATCCTTACCAGCAGAATGTTGTCAGATTAAACATTTTTTTGCTTATCTAATGGGTAGGTACAGATGACATTTTAAAAATATAAGATAATGTCATTGAGCCTTCATTTGGCCAGAAACCATGCTGAACCCTTCATGTGCATGAACTCAGTCTTCTCAGCAACGCTGCGAAGCCAGTACATCACTGCGTCACTACAGAGATGAGGAGTGAGCCTGGGGGGCGAGCACCTCGCCACAAATACAGAGTGAAGCTGTCCCTGAACCCACAGCCTGCCCCTTAGCCGCCACTCCCTCCTGCTTCATATTTTCCATTTTTAAGAATATTTTTGTCACTGTCCAAAATTTCCTACTTTAAGAATGTGTTACTTTTGTATGAGACAAAAGAGCCTTCATAAACCTTATTTTTAATTAGTTTTGAAGTCCCCCCCCCACCTCTACCCTGGCAGTGCAGAGAGAGGCCAGGAGAAGACAGGGGCCAGGGTGGACTGGGCCTCATAGCCTCTCTCTCGACTTCTCTCCCCATTCCCACACACCTTTCAGAAAGAGCAAGGAGGTTCTCCCCAGACTGTGGGGGTGGGGTGCCAAAGCCTTCTCTGGGGCTTTGTCGGGGCTCCCTGGAGGCTCCTTCAGTCTTCAGGCCTCCTGTCTTTGGTGCCCCACTTACCAGGTCCGGTTGGTGTTGGGGTCTTGGTGCAGAAGGGAGCTGAGCACGTAAGGCCCACTGCCCTCGGGAGTCACCCAGGTCCGGGCCACATCCACATTGAAGGCCACCAGGGGAGCCACGTCTGTGGAGAAAAGAGGAATACTTAACAAATCAGGTACCTGTTGAGGTTGTGGCTGGGCCTTTTAACCATTATTCTATCAAGTCCTGTAGTGTCAACATCCCCATTGTACAGATGAGAAAAGTGAAAGCGAGACTCCAAAGGATCTTTTCCCTATGGGAACAGGACTGGAACGCAGGCATGGCTGACCAGAGCCCCTGATCCTCCTATCCAACCTAGCTGTGTCAACACCAAGGCCCCTTCTTCAGGAGGCCTTCCCTGGTTCTCCCCCTAGAGGCACTTCCCACCTTCTCACACCTCCCGATGTACACTTTTCTGTACCTGTCACACGACACATACTCATCACTGTGACCTGTACTGAAGTTAAACTAGACTATGACCTCCATAAGTGACCCAAGAGAAAGCATATGTCCTCAAAATTGCCTGCACAAGAATGTTTACAGGAGTTGTATTTGTAATAGTCTCAAACCGGAAAAACTCAAATGTCCATCAAGTGGGGAAGGGATAGAGTAACTATGAAATACTACTCAGGAGTGAAAAGAAATGGACAACTGACACACATGGCAAGATGGGTAAATCACAAACATCATTAGGTTGAGTGGAAGAAGCCTTACGTAAAAGAGTATCTAAAGTATAATTCCATTTCTATGATGTTCTAGGACCAATGAAACTAATTTGTAGTAAAAAAAAAATATTGCCTGGAGGGAGAGGGGAGGGGAATTAACCAAGATGGGACAAGAAAGAACTTTCTGGGGTGATGAAAATATCCTATATCTTATAGGAGTTTGGATTCCAAAAGTATGTGCATTTGTCAAAAACACATCAAATTGTCCACTTAAAATTTGTGCATTTCACTATATGTAAATTTTACCTAAAAAAAAAAAAAAAGAAGAAGAATTGTACGCAAATACTGAACTCTAGTTGATATGTATACTGATATGTTTAGGGATGAAGCACACCAATGTCTGCAATTTACTTTGAAATGCATCAAAATAGAAGATGGCTTGATGGATGGATAGATGTATATATATACATGTATCTGCATGTAT